AAGAAGGAGGAGGAGGAGGAGGAGGAGGAGGAGGAGGAGAAGGAGAAGGAGAAGGAGAAAGAAGAAGAAGAAGAAGAAGAAGAAGAAGAAGAATGGGAAAGGAGTCCTGGGGTGTGGCAGGGCCTTGGAGAGCACTCAGGGTAGCTTCAGTCCAGAGGTGTTAGCTGGATGGCAAATGGGGTACCTGAGGAATGACTGGCAGAAAGGGAGAGGAGATGGCCTCCTGGGCAGCTGGGAAGATGGCACTGGGAGGGAGAGGCTGAGTACACAGGGAAGAATGGCTCATTGATGCCACAAAGTCTAGGATGAGCCAGAGAAACAAACCTTGGGAATATGTGTTAGCCGAAGTCTGGATCGGACATGACGCAAGTGTGTGGAGAACTATTGATTGTACACATTTTGCTCGGTTTCACCTGTTGTCTTAGCAATTCTACCACCTTTTGATACTTCTACAAGCTACCTGAACGTGGCTATAAGCTCCAGTATTTACTGTCTGAACTTATCTAGTCCTTTCCTCAACGGTCTTTTAAGTAACTCCAGTTATAACCGGAGGCTTGCTTGTTTGGTTGAATGTGGAGTGCTGTCTCTTCCCTGGGAACCATAACACACAGATTACAAACATTTTGGTTATGTGATGTGTATTACAGGCAACTTCATATTCATTTCGATAGTGTTTTAGGACAACAGGATGCCATTTATTTAAAAATCACGAGGGGAGAGATCTTTTTGGATGGAGCTTGCCTGTATCTCCTTTGGCAAAGAGGGCTTTTTTTCCTGATTAGGTTTTTAAAAGTGCTTTTTCATAACCATATGTGATTGAGTCTGGATCCTGGGGCGTGCGGTGAGGAAGTACATTTAGTCTTTGAGGGGGTCCTGCCCTTCCAGGTGCTGTCTCTGGATTCACCCACGTGTAACTGTCCTGGCTTAAAAGAGAGCCCGCAAACACAGGAGTGGCCAGTCTGGTCCTTGGAGCCCTCTGAGCAGCTTAGGTCCCAGCCAACTGGGTGAGTGTAAGGGAAGGGGAAAGTTTTAAAGTCAGGAAATTCATAGGTTTTACAGAAAGTGGCACATAACGTTTTGCAACTAAGCTTAAGGTTTCATTTTCTTGGTCTTGCTCCTGTAAGTATCTACAGGTTCTGTAGCCAAGGGAGCTTGGAGACCAGCAGTTCAGTCAGAGTTAAAACGCCATGTTCAATTGATTTTGCTTTTGTGAAGATAGATGGCCAATAACTTTTCTTTTGGGGACAAATGGGGAGGGGTGGTTGGTGGCATAATTCAGAGACAGAGATAGACATGCTGCTCAGTAGGAACAGAGGAATTATGAATACTAAGACCAGAGAGCTACCTCTTGCAGCGTAAGGTGTTCTCAGCGTTCAGTGCTGTTCACTCCTGGCTGCGCCGTTCTCTCCTCTGAAGCATGAAGATGACACCGGATGAGTTTCTACGAGGTGAGGCTTGCTGTGGCCCAGCGGCTGACGCAGTGTTCCCTTGTCCTGCAGTTGCATCCCGTGATCAAGGCTTTCCTGTGTGGCTCCATCAGTGGGACCTGCTCTACCCTCCTTTTCCAGCCCCTGGATCTCCTCAAAACGCGCCTGCAGACTCTGCAGCCCTCAGCCCATGGGTAAGGCCCGCTCCCCGCATTTCCCTGAGGAACTGGCTTCAGCAGCTTCCATTATGTTGTATGCTCCAAGAGAAACAGGCCGTGCCCAGCTCGCGTGGGTTTTGTGTACATTCTTTTCTGTGACTATTTTTTTATATTTGACATTTCTTGTTCATTCAACGGGGTCCTTCCCTGAGCAGCTTCCTGGGATCTGCCCCAGTGACATGTGCATGTATTGTGCTAGCCTGTAATGTCATAACTGTGCTGCCTGGTACGAGTAGTGGGTGGTTTTCTAGAAATAACGTAAGTATTGTTTCTTTTGTGGCCTCCATATTGGGTCAGCATTGTGGGAAGTATATAAAATAAATATAAAATGGAAGGTTATCCCATTGCTTGCAGTGTGAACAGACAGATAAACATGTAAGAGTCAAAGCGTGAGCACATAGGAAATCCAAGATTTCAAGAAGCATTATAGAGATTCTTAAGAGCCCTAGAAAAGAGTCCTAACAGAGAAGTCTTTGAGTGGCGAGTGCATTTATGATGATGCAGTCTAAGCGATGTTTCCCCCCTCTGCCTTACTTTGTCCGCCCTCAGATCCAGGCGTGTCGGGATGTTGGCCCTGTTCCTGCAGGTGGTCCGCACGGAGAGTCTCTTGGGCCTTTGGAAAGGGATGTCCCCTGTGAGCTGCCATTTGGATCTTCTCTTCCACCCTCTCCTTTGATAACTAGCCATTTCTGCTCTACCTCAAGTACCCTCTCCTTTAAGCAAACGTGAGAGTTGGAAGTGGTGGGAGGACCTTGGTGGTCTTCCTGCCCGCCTCTCATACTGCTGCTAACTTTCGTTTGAGGGCTGGGGGTGGGGGGATGTTACATCTGTGCGCCCGCGGAATGACCTGTTAGTCAGCGCAGTCTCTAGAGCAGACGCAGCTGCTCCCCGCCTGCCAGCATGTCCTTGCTCTGAGGCCTCCACACCTGCATCTCTTTGCCCAAAGGGTTTTTCTGGCCTTAGGGACTCACTTTGGAAGTGCCAGGGAATTCATGCCCACCCCAGCCCCACAGCAGCCCTAACCAATGAGTGGTGAGAGGTGATGTTTAGACGTCACTGCCCTCCTCTCAGGTAGAAGGATTACTCAGGCGTGTCCTACACTGATGCCTGGAGTTCCCCAAAGGGATTAAATCACCCATGGCAGTAACTGGTTAGATAACACACCCTTTGTTGGCTGCCATCCCTCCCATCCCCCTTCCCCACTGTCCTGTAGCTGTCCCCTCCACACCTTAAATCACCTACTTGCATGCAAATCCTGGGTCTTTTGGGAAAACCCAGTTAAGATCATCTACAGTGTGGGTCTTTGATTTCTTTCCTCCTTCCACTCTTTCCGCAGTCCATTGTGAGGTGTGTCCCTGGCGTTGGAATCTACTTTGGCACGCTCTACTCTCTGAAGCAGTACTTCCTGCGAGGCCATCCCCCCACTGCCATGGAGTCCGTCATACTGGGGGTGGGCTCTCGCTCAGTGGCAGGGGTCTGCATATTGCCCATCACTGTGATCAAGACGCGTTACGAGGTGAGCTTGACTGCTGTAGGCCCTCAGGTGGCTAAACAGAAGCACTTGGCTCTTGGGTCAAGTATTCACTGATGTCAACTCCTGATTATAATCTGACGTCAAGGCTGATGTGGTCAGAGAACCCATTTGTGTGGGCAGGCCAAGCCATGGGTGAGCCAGACCCGCTGATGCCCTGCGAATGCCCCTACTCTGAAGCTGGCTTGCTTCAGTGCTCAAACCCAGGGCCGCCGGGCTGCTCACTGGTTCTGTGCTTCCTTTGCAGAGTGGGAGGTATGGCTATGAGAGTGTCTACACAGCCCTGAGGAGCATCTATCGCAGCGAGGGGCACCGGGGCCTCTTCAGTGGCCTGACAGCAACGCTCCTTCGTGATGCACCCTTTTCTGGAATCTATCTAATGTTTTACAACCAGACCAGAAACATCGTGCCCCACGGTACGGATAGAGGCAGGTGTGGTGGACAAGCGATCTCCCAAGACACATTTTCGCCACTTTCTCTGTGACATGAGACTCCCTGCTGCTCTTAGCAGTTCCAGATTCATAGCCGAGTTGTAGGAACTGAGCCTGAGCATTGTAGCCTGCACGATTGTGGCCTCATACATGTCAGACCTGGTCCCTGCCTTCCGAGTTCATAGCCTGTGAAGGCAGGGTACTGAGAGTGCTGGGATTCTTGAGCCGGGGGTAAGGCTGGAGTAAAGGACTTTTACCTAGGTCCTGCAACAATACTCCCCAAATTTGCCTGATCTGAAGATTTCTGGGTCCCACCCCAGGCCTCCGAAATCAGAAGCCTGGGAGTCTGTAGTTTTCAAGAAGCACTTACTGTGATTCTTATCAGACATGTTGGGGGGCGGCCAATGGATTGGGCGCTAGATATAAAATATGACTTTTCACCTTCCCTTGCTCTGTCCCCAGTGAACGTAGTTCTGAGCCCTCTATTTGGGAGGAAAGAAAGGTGCCAAACCTCAGGCATTGTGGCAGGCCCACCTTACCAGTGAATTCATGTTGGACAAGACATAGACAAAATCAAAGGGCAGTAAAATCCACCCAGGTGAACCAGGTCTTGCTAGAAACATCCTACAAAATGATCCTGCATTCAGTAAAGTGTCTATGGATGATCTGAATAAAGAATTGCAACCAAGGTCATGTAATAATCTGAAAGCTGGAATGACAGTGGTGAGCAGCTGCAGCTGGGGTGCTTTGGGAGATGTACTGCTTCTCCCCAGGCTGCAGGATGTGTGACACTGCAGGTCACAGCCTTATTTTTCAGTAGAAGGTTAAGTCAATAAGGGAACTTGGATGTACATTTTTAACTTCTCAATCCTTTACAAGTTTTTTTTTTAAATTTGGTATTTAGAAATCATTTTAAACTTACAAAAAAACCACAAAAATAATACAAGTAACTCCATAGCCCTTTATTTTCTATGTGTTTGTTTTTTCCAAATCATTTAAGAGTAAGTTGCACAGACATGGTGCCCCTTTACCCTTAAATACCTCACGTGTATTTCTTAAGAATGAAGACAGTCTCATACAACCATCTTATCAAATTCAGGGAATTGAACCTAGACGCAATTCTTTAATCTATACTCCAATCCTTAGTCCTAAATTCTCTAATTGTCCTAATAGTATATTGTGTAGCAATTTTTATTTTCAAGAGTATAGACCAGTTTCCTAACCGCAGCCTGGGTTTATCTGGTGTTCCCTTGTGACTAGATTCAGTTATACATTTTTAGCAAGAGGACCACATAAGTGATGTTGTGTCCCCATCACCTTACATCAAGAAGCTTGTGACATCAGTTTGACTCAACTGTGGGTGATGCTAACTTTTTGTCACTTGGATAAGATAGCGTCTTCACTGAAAACTCAATTATTTTTTCTTTTGTAATTTGTATCTCGTGGGAAGATACTTTGAGTCTATATAAATCAATATAAAACATCCTGTTCCTTTCATCTATGTTTTAGCATCAGTTGTTGAATCTTACCTGAATCAATTATGATGATGATTATAAAAACATGAATTTTTAACTTAGTTATTCCATCTACATTTATTAGTTATACCTTTAGATTTTTAATTCTTAACCTTGTTTGAATCCAGACCATCTGTCTTTTGGGAAGAATTAGTGGGCAACTTGGCATTGATTTTTATCTGATGAAGGTGAGATTTATTTATAACTGAATGTTACCTCTGTCCTATTTCAGACCAGTTGGATACAGCCCTCATTCCCGTTGTAAATTTCAGCTGTGGGATATTTGCTGGTATTCTGGCCTCACTGGTAACTCAACCTGCAGATGTTATCAAAACTCATATGCAGCTCTCCCCAATGAAGTTTCGGTGGATTGGTCAGGCAGTGACAATCATCTTCAAAGTAAGGCTATAGAATAAATATTTGTTTTTATTGTGGTTAAGGCTCTCTCTCTCTAGAGCAGTAGCTCCTATCCTTTACACAATAGAATCACCTGAGACGCTTTTTAAAAATCCCCGTTCCCAGGTCACAACCTGGGCTGATTATAGCAGAACCTTTGCGGGGTGAAGCCCGAGTATCAGTATGCTAATTTCCTCAGTGGTTCCAGTGTGTTGCCAAGGTTGAGGATCACTGCCAAAGACCAGTGGTTGGTTTTCTTTGGGTGGGGCCCCTACCTTAGGACAACCTGTGATATTTGTTAAGCATGCAGATTGCTGGGCTGTTCCCCAGATGTACTGAATTAGGTTACCTGTAAGGACCTAGTAACCTCATCAAGGACCCAGGAGGAAATAATGGTCAGGAAAAAAAAAATCCCAAACACATTATTTTGTTTCTAGGAGAACGCTCTCATACAAATGATAATATTGAAGATAAAAAGTAGATGTTAAATGCACTAAAGTACTATTTAAAAGCCACTGAATTTGATTGGGTGGTGTTATTACCCACCAGATATTCTGTATTCTATTCTTAGTACATTTGTCACCTACATCTTTAGATTTTTCTGTACTGCTCAATTTTTCTATGTAGCAGAGGAAGCAGGTAAGCATATGCAGCAAGCGTCTGTCTCACCTAGATATAAGCTGATATTTGTGAACCTGATCATATTCCTCAATTGCTTAGGTTGCCTGCCCTTCCTCCACACCTCACATCATAAAGTTTGAAAATGTATTCTTTAGTACATGTGAAAATGGCAGAATGATAACAATAGGAATGAATAAATCAATCCAGATTATGTGGGAAAAGTAAGAAGTGTTCTGTCTTTAATTTTTATATAGGGCCACCAAGAACATATAGTGAATTACAAAAAAAATGCTCCCTCTAGGCAAATTGTCAAAAAGGCAGCCTGGAGCCTGGAGCCAGGGCCCAGGGTGCTGCAAGCCAACCTTGGCTGGATTTCAGCTGCCACTTGGGGCCTGGTGCTTCTGTGCACAAGCTGTCCACCTGTACACAGCAACCCTGTCTGAAGATTTTCAGCTAAGAAATAAATTCCCCTGGGAGGAGCAAGCCTAAAAAGATAAAGCTTAGCAACTGTTCAAAAAATAGTTTAAGTTGATTGTCTCCTTGGACCCATGAGTCATAGTTTTGACATTATTTATAGAAGTCTAAAAGCTAAGACTCAGAAATGGGGTAACAGAGAGAGACCCTCACTGTCATGCAAGTCATATAATTGTATTGCTAATTAACTGAGTTTCTATGTTCATTTTCCTCCTAGGACTATGGGCTGCGTGGCTTCTTCCAAGGCGGTGTGCCCCGGGCCCTCCGCAGGACTCTGATGGCAGCGATGGTGTGGACAGTCTATGAAGAGATGATGGCCAAGATGGGCCTGAAATCCTGACTGAGAGGGGACTGAGAAAGGATGGGATCTGTTGCCCCGCCCGGTTTCTGCCAGGGCTGCTTCATCTCACTATCCTGGAGTAAGATGAAGTCCTATTTGGAAAGCCAGGCAGATACGTCACCTTGTTACCCAGTTGAAGCAGAGAATAGATGGGCCTGGCTCAAGGCTTCAGAATCTCTCAAAAGAAGAGTCACTGATACATACAGCACACTGGGGAGTTAGGGAAGGGTTTGCATAGCCCGCAAGGCTACTTGAAAGCATTTCCTGAGAGAGCACTGTCAGGTGGTTCCCGGCCACCCACCTACACACAGTACCTCTCTGGATCTGTCCTTGGGCCAAGGGATCACGAAGCTCGGGCTGAGGAGCTCCAGCTGGGGGGGCTGGGTCTGCAGAGTGAGGAGTCACTGTCACCAGGCATCTGAGGTGATAGTGATGTCAGGATGAGGAAGAGAAGATGTCGTTTCTAAATCGGTTTCTAATCAGCTTCTCAGAGGCTCTGGAGAAAGGCAGACAATGGCTTCCTAGCCTCTAAGTGTCCAAATAGAAGTTTTTTAGTCTTGGCCCCAGCACTGTTTCAACTCTAAGTTGTTCTGGCATTTTTCTGCAGCTGAAGTTCAGATAAATAAAACAAAAACACTGTATCATTGAAAACTGGAAAAGCTAAATAGTGTCATCACTGTGTTTTAAAATAATAGAATAGTCTAAGGTGGCTGGCTTTTGAGCTATATAGGTCCTAAAACCTAAAAAAATTTTTAAACAGCTTTATTTTACTTATCAATTCATCCATTTCAAATATATAACTCAACGATTTTTAGTAACTTTACTGAACGGTGCAACCGTCACCATAAATCAGTTTTGGAACACATTTATTTCCTGGTTAGATCTCATTTACAATTAGTCCTCTTTCCCAGCCCCAGCCCCAGGCAGCCATTGATTTGCTTTCTGTCTCTATAAATGTCTTCTGTACACTGTTTTTGAGGTTTACCCATCATGTGGCATGTTCAACACTGTCCTCTTTTTTTATGGCTGAATAATATCCTATTGTATGCCTTTACCATATGTTATCTATCCACTCATCAGTTGACTAACATTTGAATTATTCCTACTTTTCGACTCTCGGGAATAATGCCCCTGTGAATATTCATGTACAAGTGCTTGTGTGGACATACATTTTCATTTCTCTTGCGTATATGCCTAGGAATGTAATTGCTGGATCATGTGGCAACTTTGTTTAGCCATTTGAGAAACTACCAGACTGTTTTCCAAAGTGGTGACCCTATTTTACATTCCCTGCAGCAGTGTATGAGGGTTCCGACTTCCCCACATCCTCCTCAACACTTGTTATTGTCTGTTTTATTTAATATAGCCGTTCTAGTGGGTACCCAACTTTTTCTGTCAACTTTCAAACTTAGGAAAAGGGCCATTATTTTATCCAGGCATCACGGGCGGGGGGGATGTTTGGTCTCCTGGTAAAGAACATGGGCTGTGATCTTGGAGGCTCAGGTTGAAAGCCTGGCTCTCCACTTACATAGACACACTTGGCATTGTGTCTAGGAAATGGGGATAGCAGTATTTCCTTCCTCCTAGGGTGGCGGTGAGGGTTAATGAGCAAATTTTTCTGGCACATTGTATTGGTTTCCTAGGGCTGCCACAACCAACTACTACAAACTGGGTGGCTTCTAACAACAGAAATGGATTCTCACACACAGTTCTGGGTCCTCCAAGTCTGAAAACAAGGTGTCTGCAGGGCCTTACTCCACAGTCTCTAGGGGAGGGTAGTTCCTGGTCTCTTCCAGGTTCTAGTGGTCACTGGCAATTCTCGGCATTCGTCATTCCAATCACTGCCTCTGTCTTCACAATCCCTTCTCCCCTGTGTGTACAAATTTCCATCTTCTCTTAAGGACACCAGTCATTGGATTAGGGCCTGCCTACTGCAGAATGACCTCGTCTTAACCTGGTTACATCTGCAAAGACCCTATTTCCAAAGGAGGTAACGTTCACAAGAACTGGGGGTTAGGACTCCAGCATATCTTTTTGAGGGACACAAATCAACCTATAGCACATTAAGTTCAATGATTTATAAGTTTAAGTTCAGGTTTTAGGTTGAAACACCCCATCCAAAAAAATGCTATGGGGAGGAGTATAGGATAGAACAAAAGGATACTCATCTCATAGTGGCACCCAAGCCACCGTACTTGGTGTCCTGTGTGTGAGGCGTTGTGCTGGGCAAAGCAGGGGAGCACTTAGGACTGGAGATGCAATGCTGGGACAGGACTGAAGGGAAGGCAGGTTGACAATTGGTGGAGTGCTGCCTCCTTTGGACTTCGACTCAGGCAGGGTGTTCAGGGCCTCTTCAGTCTCCTTTGACCCTCATCTTGGGTCTTGCGGGCCTAATGCCATTGAGGGCCTTGCCAGGGGACCCCGGGAGGAGAGGGGCAGAGATGAGGCCCAGAGGTGTGGGTTTCATCCCACTGCAGATATGCTCACCTTATACTTGGCTGGTGAATTCCAGTCACCAGAAACCCCTTCTGTGCTCCCCGTTGGTTCTTTTTGGACCAAATAATCATAAGATTTGGAGAAATGGTCTTATTTTCTCTAAACATGGGGTAAAACTGAAATTGGCCTTTGTGAACATTGATTCCAGAGGCAAGTGGCCCTGAGATCTGCATATCTCAGGCCCCAATAATTTGTTTTTTCCTCTCTTGCAGTCTCCCACAAGTATTAAGTTCAGAAAGGAAGTGGCTAGTGAGCTTCAGCCGGTTTTTGTAAAAAACATGGCTCAGTGCCCCCCCCCCTTTTTTAAACCATTGGATGCCTCAGACTTGAAGCAAATTTACAGGCAAGGATTTGTGGGAGGAAACTGTCATTGGCAACTAGAGAGAGATGGCTTAGTAAGACAGAGCCAAAAGGACAGAAGCAAGGCTTTCAAGCTGCCATTATACTCAGTTTCCAAAATATATTGTGAAATTTTTCAATTTCAAACACAAGAGTCAGCCAATGGTACATGCCTTCCATTCACATCACCCAGATGGAACAGTTATCACGCCAGTCTTTTTTTTTAAGATTTTTTTATTGGGGAATTGGGAGATAGGAACAGACAAGTTGCTGTCCTTTTGTTCTTCAGTCTAGTTGTGGAGGACGTTGCTTCACTGGCCCGAGTTGGCACCATCATTGCACTCTTCCCAAGCGAGGCAGATCAGTCGCCAGTTTCTGGACTGGTCGCTCACTGCGGC